ACACCGGAGTTTCAGAATTAAAATATATTTTCTGTCTATTTCGGACTACTTCAGGGATGAAACCACAGCTGTCACTATTCCCATTAGCAGATCTTTTACACAGTGCAGTGCGGGAGCTGACACGCAGAGAGAGCGGGGCCCCGGGGGGCCTCTAGGAGCTGTCAGAGATGGATAGTTATAGGTAGACAGCACAGGGCTCCTGCTGAGTATGGAGTCAGTTGAGCACAGCGGGGGGCGCGCACACACACACATGGGGGGTGGGGGGTGGGGGTCACGAGGGTCCGCACATCACTTCCAGGAGTCTCTGTACATCTGAGAGACGGATCAGTACTGTGTGCTCAGATTAACCCCTTGTATAATTTCACTGCCAGTGCAGCGCTCCATCACTAAGGGAAGAGACATGCGTGCCATCACACACCTACACTTCTTCTCTTCAGGGGCCTACAATGTCTCTGTCTGCAGATATTTATCATATGTTGCTTTTCAGCACCAGGAAATCCCAGCAGAAAGAGGGATAACCTACCCTAAGTACCCTTCCCACCCCACCATCTCACCCAGCCCCTGCAGTTCTCATACTTGCCCTCCTTATATACCTTATACGAACCCTCCCTATAACCCTAACACTATCCCTCCCTATATACCTAACACTAACCCTCCCTATATACCGAACACTATCCCTCCCTATATACCGAACACTATCCCTCCCTATATACCTAACACTATCTCTCTCTATATACCGAACACTATCCCTCCCTATATTCCTAACACTATCTCTCTCTATATACCGAACACTATGGGGGTGATTTACTAGCCTAAACACACGCACGCACTAGGTGTGTGTGATTTTTACACAGCAAAACGTATTTATCAACCAAAAAGTCTCTAAAAGCATATTTCCACTAATGCCATATATGGAAAAATCATGCACATGATGCATATATAATGCTGCTTCACAGTTTAGACAAAAATAGTTAGCTCATGCATTTACATTCCTGCATTCATCAACACAAGCAACACAACATAGAGCTAATTTACACAACATCACCTTGCAATTCATGCAGGACTTTGCACAACACACCTGCTGGGTGTGTACACACTACAAAGGTGTTTAGATTCCACCCATAGATCATGCTGGGAGGGAACACACTACAGAGGTGTATACATGTTCGTGGTGTGTTTATAAGGTTAGTAAATCAACCCTTATCTCTCTCTATATACCTAACACTATCTCTCTTTACATACCTAACATTAACCCTTCCTAAAACCGAAAAACACTAATCCTCCCTGTAACCCTAACACTAATCTTCCCTATATACCTAACACTATCCCTCCCTATATACCTAACACTATCCCTCCCTATATACCCAACACTAACCCTCCCTATATACCTAACACTAACCCTCCCTATATACCGAACACTAACCCTCCCTATATACCGAACACTATCCCTCCCTATATACCGAACACTATCCCTCCCTATATACCTAACACTAACCCTCCCTATATACCTAACACTATCCCTCCCTATATACCTAACACGCATTCTCCCTATAACACTAACAGTAATCCTCCCTGTAACCCTAACACTAACCTTCCCTATATAACTAACACTATCTCTCCTTTTATACCTAACAGTAACCCTCCCTGTAACCCTAACACTAACCCTCCCTATAACTCTTACACCTACCCTCCCTGTAGCCTTAGCACTAACCCTCTCTATATACCTAACACTGTCCCTCCCTATAACCCTGACAGTAACTCTCTCTACAACTGTAACAATAACCCTCCCAGCAACCTTAACACTAATCCTCCCTCTAACCCTAACAAAAACTTTCTCTGTAACCCTGATACCTACCATCCCTATAACGCTAACACCAACCCTTCCTATAACCTTAACAATAACCCTCCCTACAAGCCTAACCCCCCCCATAACCCTAAGACTGGGTTCACACCTGAGCGTATTTTTTCTGCTAGTTTTTTTGCGTTTTTTAGCGCGTTTTTCCGTTCAGTGAAACGCGTATTTCACTGGAGGTATGATTTTTTTTTGTCTTTATTTTCTCTATGTAAAAAAAAAAAATTGTTTCACTTTTAAACTTCCCGCCGGCTCCGCCCCCCTGCGACGTGGCCGCTCGCAAGGGACGGAACCCGGAAGTCGGCAGCCGCCGGAGGACACATCGGGGATCGCGGACAAAGTAAGACCTGTACGCTGTATTCCCGAGTGTGGCTCGGGGTCACCGCTTTGTTAACCCCGATCCACACTCGGGAATACCAATGTAAACGCACGGCAAAACGCCCCAAAGAAGCTCCTGTACTTCTTTGGGCGTAGGGCGTTTTGCAGCGCGTTCCTACGTGCTGTTAAACGCCCAGGTGTGAGCCCAGCCTAACTCTTACCCTTCCTTGAACCCTTACACTAACCCTTACTGCAATCTTAAAGCCATATCTCCTTGTAACCGATCACTAAACCTCCCAGTAACTTTAACACTAATCCTTCCTCAGGACAATGGCATTCTGGCCAGGCTCCTGCTATGGCTGTCTGGAGGTCTTTAGCAGCTGGACCCCTGCGGTGTCCTGCAGTCAGAACTTCTGGGGAGGGCAGGGTGTCGGGGGAGGGGAAGGTGGTTGTGATGGGAATATAATCTGATCTGATCACTTTGTGTATAAAAGGTTGTACAGTTGCTCAATAAATCAGAGTTTGTTGCACCCTACACTTGGTCCCGACTAGTGACTGGGGAAACTGGGAGCTAAAGATCAGCGGGTTGAAATAACTCCTGAGCAAGGAAGAATACAGCGGCGGACATACTCATCCTGAATACTGGGGTCCATCACAATCACTGGGTCAAGTATTAGGTATGTAAGGAACACTGAAAGGTTCTCTATTAGAAAGTTGATGGAGGTAGGAGGGAGGAGCCAAGGGGATGCAAAATATGAGATTACACTTCATCTTTAGGGCGGTGAGTTATTGTTGCATTCTATACACATTTATGCAGCATTGCAGCTGCATGTTCCCATCTTACTGACTCTTTCTGGCATTAGTATAAAGTCCGCTCTGACCTCTGACCTCTGGCCGGGTGGATGCAGCGGCTGTGGACTTCCATATTTCACAACAACTTTTCCCCTCTCATTTCAGGCTTGGAGAACGAGCTCGTCGTGGACAGCGATCCATTGACGGAACAGCGGTGTAATTGCACCTGCAGCAACAGTGGTGTAGCTGTCCCCACCTCGGCCTGGGTCATCTTCAGCAGCCGCCTGTCCTCCATCCTCATTGCTCTTCTAGTCTTCCTCATCCTCCACTTCAGGGGCCGGAGGAACCCGCCACATAGAATGTCCCGGCTCCATAAGTTCCATTAGTCGCCGTCTGATTATCTGCACTTTGTGACTATGAAGTGTATGTGTGGGAGGTCAGGTCCAGTTTTCCATATATGATGATTCCCCCTGACCTCCCACATCAGACCTACATCTACCACACCATCAGGATACCACGGCATTATATGAGTCAATGACTCCAAGTTCAGGAGCACAAGAAAACAACTAGACCCACATCTATCTATCTATCTATCTATCTATCTATCTATCTATATTTTATCCATCTATCTATTATCTATCTATCTATCTATCTATCTATCTATCTATCTATCTATATTTTATCTATCTATCTATCTATCTATCTATCTATCTAT